CACTTGGACTTTGCCCATCAGTAATGATTACAGATGCCGATCTAGCAATGGATGCGGCTATTGCTTAAAACTATCCTAAAACAAAACATTTACACTGCATCTGGCACATAGGCCAAAATCTTCCTAAACACTTAAAAAATAAATTACATGGAGATTATGAAGGTTTTGCCAAAAAATTTTTTCAATGTCACAATAATCTTAATATTGAAAGTTTTGAATATGAATATACAAAATTAATTGAGGATTATCTTGCTACAGCAAAATATCTTGAGCACTTATATAAAAGTAGAGAATCATGAGCAAGATGCTATATGAGTATATATTTTACAGCTGGAATGCAGTCTACAAGCCGTGTTGAAAGTGTTAATAGAATAATCAAAAAGGAATTGGATGGTCAATGTATATCATTAAATGATCTTTGTATACATATTACTCAAATTCTCAAAGATTGTCAAATCATAAGGAATTTGTAGCATGAAAAGAGACAATGCTGATAATCACACCACCTAATATCTATAATACAGTGTTTCGTGAGGTTGATAATGAACTTCGTAATTGTGTAACTCTTGCAATAACTGAAAAAATTTGGGAGCAAATGAATCATAGTCTTTTATATAATGCAACACAAATTAATCATAAAAAAGATATTAATACTGAGTTCTCATGTGAAACTACTTGTATTGACGAAGTTTTTGACCTACCTCAAGCTTCAGCAAATACTATTCTTAATGAACTTTATGATCAATTAACTTCAATATGGGAAGTACAACATATAACATATGCAGCTCCTCCTCAATTTGTTTTTCTTTTAAAACCGGTAATTATAAATGCACTTGCAAATTAGAAACAATTTCAGGTTGGGTCTGTAGACACTTTTTTCATGTTATTTGTACATCACCAGAAGCTAGGTTTCATATCAACATGATTAATTATCATTGGCTTAATGATAATGTTTATAGCAGTGACTTAAGTAACAGAAGCTTTATTAGACTAGTAGAACTGATACAACTGGCTCTGCAACTCAACTCCCAATAAAATGGATCTCTACTAGAAATGATGAAGCAATTGAATTATCAAGACAAGAACAAGGTTTGGCTCAACAATGATTAAAAGCTAAACAAAGATTTGCAAAAGCATTTGGTTTCACAAAAACAATGATCAATAAAGTAATTGAATTGGACTTAGATAAGAAACTAATTACAATGCTCGAAGATTTTCATGAAAAGGAAATTAGGCCAAAAAATCTAGAGCTTAATAGCATGACTAATAAGTCTAACAAAACGAACATTACTAATTTGAATGAAAAAAACTATCAGGGATCTGAAAATGAAACATCCAACTCTTCAGATAGATTTGATGAGATTCAAAAGAGGAAGGCTCCAGTTGTTGCTGAAAACCCTACACTAAAACGATATAAAGGACGTCTGCCAAAAGCTCATAGAATTCTTAGTAGTATAGAAAATATTAAAAGTAATCAGCAAAACATGAAACAAAGAAGTATTAAATGTACATATTATCATGAAATAGGTCATAACATCAGATGCTATAAAGCAAAATTAACTAATGAAGCTAATTAAAGTTGGATTAGTATAGAGATAGGAGATTTCTATAGCATAGCTACAATATATATTATAGAAGTTTAATGTGAAATATTGGAATTTGCAGTTTCAAGGATCTCATAATTGAATACTAGAATTGTTAGGCAAAACCAAATATGTGTATAAGATTCTATTTATAGCTTCTATATATAAGCTGAATTTTAGAATTAGTAACTTCAGTTTTTACGAAATTTCATTTAACAGATTACTAGTTCTAATGTTAACTTCTGCAAAGAAATTGTGTTTAGAATCTTAAAGCAATATAAACAAAACTATATAATTAGACTACTAATGCTAATTACTTTTTAATTTACCAGTACTTGAATACACCATTGTACTTGTGTATTAATCGAAGACTTTATATTCAGGGTTGTGAACTATATACATCATTATGGTGTATATATGATCAACCGAATGTTCATTAGTTAGCCTTTCATCTACTATAAGGGTTAAATATACTATCAATTTAATATCATAAATCAGATTTGAGTTTAATGATTACTTGATACAAATATGTAAGCAAATAGATTTTATTGCTTGTCCTTATTGTATATTTCTTCTATTTATACTAAACAATTTCTTATTACTTTACGTAGAACACACATATTATCAATCACGTTGTATTACTTGACATTCTTATTGCTCTTGCCATTGCTATATATTATTACACAAACTAGAGGTCTGATCTAATCAAAAAATATATATTCCTATATTCATTCATTCCATTTTCTCAATATCTGAATATTCACCAGATATTAATTAAATCTTGATTGAAATAGAGTTATTGATTCAGAACAATGAATTAAGGTAATATTATAAAGTTGAATTGATTTCTGATTTTAAATACATAAGCTAATAAATAGAGATCTCATGTATCTACTTTGGATTTATACAAAAATAGGTGACATATTGACACTGTACTTGCACTTAATCGATTAAATAACATATATAGTTTACCCTCATTATAATAGACCCCATTATAGTGGATACCTCGTTATAATGTAATTCTGTCTGTTATAATGAATATCCAATATAGTATTATACAAAAATTTTAATTTATTCAGAAAATTTCTCCATTATAACGAGGTATCCACTATAATGGGGTCTATTATAATGAGGGTAAACTATATTTATTGGATATTTAATGAATTATTTGTGAATAACGAACAATTATATATTCGAATATTCGCTGAATATTTGAATATGCTATACATTAGATCAGACCTCTAACGCACATATAGTAATTATTACAAATTGATCACTTATATTAATTTAATTTATTCTGCACTAATACTAGCTTCATTATTTTTCTATAATTAAATTAAAGCCAGCTACCCATGTAACAGTATGCTCTGTAAAAATAGCTCATAAATCTGCCATGTCACAAGTTTTTAATACAAAAATCTAGATATATTTTCTGATTCTATATTTGTATTATGATATTTCAAATTAATAGCTATAGTTATAGTTGCCTTAATAAATATTAGTATATTAATAAGATAATCACGCAATATATTTTTATTAATAAATAAAATTATAGTCAACTCACTTTATAATAAACTGGGCAGTTATTATAATAAAATATTATCGATGTATTTGTAAAGTAATTACTGTGTTTATACTGAACTCTACGATAAATTTTTTAAAAAAGTTTGTTATAGAGTAGGTTTGTTAAAATAGATTATTATTTTCAGAATTGACTATATCTTATATCATGTAATATTAGAGGTGCACTGAGTGCATGGGGCACCATTTAACAAGATTCATAATATAATAATAAAATAGAAAAGAAAAAAATTTTTATAATATCGGTATATATTCAGCTACTATTTAAATAAAAAAAGAAAGAAAAAATTTAGTAAATAAATATAAAATCAGTTATAAATTAGCATATTCAAACACTTGTTTTTTTACAGTGAAAAAATTTACCATTTTCCAGTTTTTAACTTTTTTTTGCTAAATCAAAATTGGCAAGAGTTTCCACTCATTCACCACTTCAATTTCGGCTTCTGCTTCTTCTGGTTCTTAGAGTAAATGAGATAAAAGAGATGAATGAGGAGAGATAGTTCTTTGGAGAGAAATAACAACTTTGAACTGTATTGGAGTAGTGAATAGTTGGGTCAAAGGGTTGTCGAATTAATAGATGGGTGGGTCGAAGAGGTGGTCGAAGTACTTAATTGTCTGATCGAAGTGGTGGATTGCCTTGTTAAAGAGGCGGTCAAAGTGGAGATTGTCAGGTCAAAGTGGTGGATTATCTGGTCAAAGAGGTGGTCGAAGTGGTGAATTGTCTGGTTGAGAAGGTGGTTGAACTGATGGATTGTTAG